TTAATGACGCCATTTTCTTTCAGTCAAAGCAGGGACGTATTGTATACTGTCCCTGGTCAAAACTAAAGTAGATATTTGTTCTTGTGCGTAACGTATATGATGGATCGGTGGCGCAGTGGATAGCGCGCTCGTCTTCACCAAGATGGCCGGATTCTATCCCGGACACCTGCCCGACCACGCGGGGTTTCTCCGGATACTCCAGCTTCCTCCCATATTTAGAATAAAACTCTCTGCATGCTTCCGTCAAAGTACAAAAAGAATGATGGAGATAAGCTGGGGAGAAAACTGTTTGGTAATTACTATAGAAAAAAGTGCATATTACATATTTGACGATTACATGTAGTCTAAGTAAATGTAAAGAGATGTTAGTAAAAAATGAAATTAAAAAAAGAAACATTGTTATACTTTGATATAACTGAAAGTGTCTTGATATGGATATGTAGTCTCAGTTACTGTTCCATCCTGAAACACCGGATTGAATTTCAAATTTCGTAACTGTCACCGAGGTTTGACAGGTAATGATGCCAAATAAAATTACAGTTTCTGTCTGTAGTTATAAATCGGCACGCGTTGTGAAAAAGTAATACGTTACACTTGGGTTGGTTGTCTTGATTTTTTTTGTAAATTTCGTCATAAATGCATTTTCCATTGCTTCTTTTATGAGTTGTGATGCATAAATAATATAAAGACTATATCCAGACTTTCAAAAATGTCAATTTTTTCGTTCATATTCTCAAAAAATGGAAATCAAAAGCAAATGTCTCACGGTAGAAAAAAGCACAGAACCGGGTTGATGACAAAAAAGATCGTCAGAAAATATCCGCATTTTTACTTTTTGTGCTTGTGGAAAAAACTGAAATAAAAAAAGTCTTGAAGCACCGACAAAGAGATAAAATGCAACGGACATCACTTCCAGAATTTTACGGTTATTTTTCATCCTTCTGGAAATAACCGATGAAGGCCGATGTATTGTGACGTCACAGTATGATAATCTCTGAACGAAGTTTCAGGCCTGTTAGTATCACATTTTATGTGATAGACTTTTTTCACTCAGAATGTATATCATTGTTTATCTAAATTAACAAGTAATAAAACATGGGTATTGTTTTCATTCTATGAAGATGTTAATGTATGGGTTGAAACACAATTGTCTTTGCTTCAAGGATACACTTCCGGTTTCCTCACTGGACATCTACTTCCGGACGAACAGAATTAAAGGCAAGGTGTAGAAAGGAGCTACGCTTTTATTAGATATCAGTAAGTAACGTTCTCTATTCAATTATCCAATAGGATAAACAACACAAAATACAGAAATATATTTCACTGCGACAGAGGCACTGCGACTGATGATGAATACTCCCCATATCACTGATTACCAATATATGTATATCAGATATAAAATTAATCTAATTGTAAATTCTAATTCCGCCAAAACTCACTCCCAATTTTTAATTATGTAAAAATTAACTTTCACGTCTACCTGCCGCTACCCGTGTCGCCTGAATGACACGTACACGTAACACGCGGTACAGGTAACACGCGATTGGGATTTGCACGTGCAAATCACAGATCATCACGCCACCTATTGGCACTGCATAAGATCGAGAAAATAATTTCACCCTAATTCCTACCCGTCAAACGGTTGAAATTATATATGAATTAACTTTTAAATGATAGCAGAAAAACATCAAATTTCAATAATCCAATGACACATCAGTCATTAGTTTTCCTCTGATCAAACGCCAGAAAAGACATCCGTTGTATAGATATAAATATTCATAGGTTAATATATATGAGAATATGTTCGTGTAAGAACCTTTAGGTACTGAACATATTTGGATATTTTTTCTTTCGAAATTGGTTAGTTGGAAACGAAAACGATGCAAATCATTCATACCGCTACCTACCGAAATCTACAACACGTACGTCAATACAATATTCACTAACAGTTGGTGCAATATCTTAAGAATGCCTGTCCCCCACTGTATCGTGGTTTTCCCACAAGTTTTCACAAGTTTTTATTTCACTCAGTCACACTTTAGTGTGGTACAAGAGGTCACATTTATACAAATACAACAATTTATTCTGTATAACTTATGATATAACAGGATTTACAGCATAATTAATATTTTCAATGTTGTTTCTAGAAATTTACCAACTTTTTTAAGGAGAACAGTGTTGCATATTTGAAACATTCCTTTCATTTTCACGGTCGTCGGATAATTATAGTAATACTTAGGTATATATTTTTGCCTCAGTTCCGTGATCTGACTGTTATTACAAATAAATAAATACTGGAATTCGTCGCCAACATCGATGTTACAGAGAGGAAATATTCTATTTTCCCTTAAGACACCTGTCCATTTTCCTGTTTCGATAGGGAGTTTCGAATTTAATGTTCTGAATTTAGACATTATTTCCCGATCTTTTTCCCCAAGCCGTTTCAAATATCCTTCTAAGCCAAAATCTTTCTTAAAAATAGAATAGATATTCCCTCTGGACGATATTGTGACGTCATGATTCCATTTTTGAATAAATTGATCCTGTAACTTTGATTTAAGTATATTTTCCAGTAGCGGCTTGCTAACAGTACATGTTTCTTGAAATATCCATACATAGTTCATTCCCGAGTTACCTAGTAATTCTTTAATATTTTGCAACCATTTGAACTTAATGACGTTATTTTCGTGTAACTTGTACATGATTTTGTATTTTTTTCCGGAGAGCTTATCATGACACGTGACTAGATTATACCAAAACATTATCATTTTACAATAAATTTCAATCTGGATAGGATATCTTCCTGTTACTCCGTACACCATGTAATTAGCAGTGCTCCTTCTAAGATTTAGCAGTCTCTTACAAAACTGTAAATGAATCTTTTCAATTGAAGTGTTATTTTCAAATCCCCAAACATCTGCACCATATATTAGAACTGGCAACACATTTGAGTCAAACAATTTTAACTGGAGATCAATTGGTAAAGGAATATTTCTAATTTTTCTGCGTACTGTAAATAATGCCTTTTGAGCCTGTTGAATTAGTCGTTCTTTTGCTTTGATAAAACTGCCATTGTAGTTAAAAACAAGTCCTAGGTACATAAAACTATCTTCTATATCAAGTTCAACTCCTCCAAATAAAAAAGTAAACTGTATTCTACATGTTCGTTTTGAAAATATCATAATTTGGGTTTTCTGGGTTTTAACTGAGAGCTTCCAGTTTGAACAATATAACTCAAAAACATCAAGCGCAGACTGTAGCCCTTCTGGCGTTTCTGACGGTATCGTCTGCATATGATATAATAAATAACTTCAGATATGTTCAAACGGTATCAGCACTTAGTGTATCTACTGTATATAACCAATTCACGTTGTTTTCTTGAAAAATCTTTTTAATCACTCAGGTACAAAGCAAACAAAATGGTGACAAATTTTCACCCTGTTTTAAACCGACATTGCAGTTGAACATGACGGACATTTCAGAGCCATTTTTCACACAGGATTTCGTATTTGAGTACAAACCATGAATTACATTGAATATTTTCCTTTTTATACCGCTCTTAAGTAGTTTTTTCCATAGCCCGGCTCTCCAAACAGAGTCGAAGGCTTTGCGAAACTCTATGAACGCACAATAAAGTTTTTTCCCAAGTGATTAGTATGATGTAGTTAAGAAATGAAGAATACAAATGTTATCTACTGTTGAGTATCCCTTCCTAAATCCCGCTTGTGCGCTTGTTATAATATCAAATTCATCAGACGATTTATTCAGGCGGCTATTTAAAATTGATGTGAAAACTTTACCTAGGCAAGATACAAGAGTTATCGCCCTGTAGTTGTCAAGGTCATTTGGATCACCTTTGTTTTTGAATATAGGCATTATTATACCTGTTGTCCAGGTATCTGCTACTACGCCTGTATCAAGTACAATATTAAAAAGTTTGTGATACACAGGCATACAAATATCTAAAGTCGTTTTCATGTATTCATTTACAATTCCATCTATACCGCATCCTTTGCTGTTTGCGAGTTTTTTAATCGCACCAGTAATCTCATCTACGCTAATATCGCCATTTAATTTATCGTCACATTCACATAGGTTAATCTCTATTTCGAGATCATCATCATGTTCATCTTTATGCGGTCAGCTATTGTAACATAACGTCAATAAACAATTTACCATGTCATCTATTTGCAAAAAAACCCACACTTTTCACAGAGACCATATGCTATATCATTGTTTTAATTGACATCATACATTTGCCATAAAGAATTTTTCAGAATTGCCAAATACCAACAATATAAACAATGTTTTATTGATGCTAGAAGTATCATTAATCAAACACGTCTGGATCCTCGCGACATCGGTAGGTCAGTATGCACTTCCCGGTATACAAATCTTATCCAACTAATGTCTGAAAAAAATGATTCCACGAGACTGGCCGTAACTTCCCGATACACATTACGTAGAAGGGAGCTCTTTTTGAACCTTATATAAGGCCGTTACGCCAAGTCAATCTTATAGTTTTTTCTATCCTGACAAGTAAGTACGAAGGTTCACTACTTTTGCAAACGCGACATTTCTTAATACGATATACACTACACATGTACATGTAGCTAGTTCGACTTTATTTAAGCGAGAAAATTCTAGAAATATGGCTTTATTTATAAGATTTTTTTAACTATTTATTTGTTTATTTATTCGTTTATATATATATATATATTGATTTTGGTAAATGAACATATTTTTTTCATATAAAAAGCTACTTATTCAAAAATGACAACTGGTGTAGATTGTAGATTTCATCTTCATATGTAGATAGATAAACCTTACAGTTAAGCAAGAACAATATAACAATGTTAATTAATTAATAATTTATTCGATTTGTTTTATCTATTTATTTGTTTATTTATTTGTTTATTTATATATTTATTTTTGTAATTGAACATTTTTTTTGTAACAAGCTACTTATAATCTAAAATAGAAACTGGAGTTGATTTTAGATCATTTATTGATATCATGTTTCTACTTTTACCAGCTATAACCATGAATACTTTCATCGTCGCCGCCGTCCTCGTTGCCGTTCTGTCGGTAGCCTCTGCCTCCCTTTTCGACGAGGATGATGGCTTCATCATTGGGGCAGGGGGTCACTTCGGTGGTGGTCACCTCGGTGGTGGTCACTTTGGTGGTGGTCACTTTGGCGGTCACATGCAAGGAGGATATCCTATCGTCAAGGGATCAGGTATGTAGAAACGTTATTATATATATGTTAGATACTATTTCTAGAACAAAAATGATTTTTTAGGGGTTTTTCCCCACAGCAACCACATATGGACATTGTTATTAATAATAGACACGAGTAATCCGCGTATAGGTTTTACTGAGAGAAAAAAGTTCAGTACATGTTCTCAGCAGCAACATATCTTTTAGTAGAAACGTGTATATGCTAACTCTTGGCTCTTTAGGTGAATAATGAAGAGAAACATTGTAAACGTGTATCTAATTATGAGATTTGTTCTAAATACATTGTTGTTTATAGTAATCAGTGTTTTATGTAGTGTATATAAGTCAAATTTTTCCATTAATACAATGGTATATGTTTATGTCTTCATTTATTTGCACATCATTTCAATTGAAATGATTCAAAACCTGCTCGTGATATTTCAATACACTATAGCATAGTCGTCTACCTTACAAAATTCCATCAAAGTATCAGGGACAAAAATGGTTTACACGACTTTGTTGCTAGGTTATTTCAGTCTGTTGTTCAACGTGTATGGCACAATCTCTATTTACGATTATGCCGGCTGGAGTAGCTTCCCATGAAGTTGTCCGAGACTCGTATTATTGTATATGAGAATATTATCCAGAATTTAATTTAAGTTTTGAAAACATCTTTTGACTAAAATTCCAACTAACTATTTTATTTTATGTGTTTCAGGTCTGCCCTGCAAGAAGCATTACGGTCACGGTGGTTACGTAAAGGGTGGGATGATCACAAAAGGCTACCCAACTGTTTACACTACCGGCGGTCAATACGGAGGTTCCCAGATGTACTCTGGTGGTCAGTATGGTGGTTCCCAGATGTACTCTGGTGGTCAGTATGGTGGTTCCCAGATGTACTCTGGTGGTCAGTATGAAGGTTCCCAGATGTACGGTGCCGGTCAGTACGGAGAATCCCAGATGCACAACGGTGGTCAGTACGCTGAATCCGAATTGTACGGCGGTGGTCAGTACAACGCCGGAGTCGGACAACACAGTGGTGGACAGCAGATGTATGCCAGCGGTCAACAGTATTACCCTAGCCAAACTGTCTACTAAATACGTAACAGGTGTGTAGACTTTCTCGTTCCAAAACTTCTTCTAGAATATAACATGTATACCAACTCGCTCAATTAGTCTTATGATGCTGGTTTAGTCCAGACTTTTGAGCCTTTTTTCCGAAAACATCGTTTATAACTTTTCTTCAATTCTACTCAATGCTGAAATTATCGATTCTTTCCATGTATAATCGGTACACCATATTAGGCCGGCTATCAAACCAGGGATTGTAATGTTTTGTCCGGATATCTACCATTTTTAAATTAGATTTGTCCTGCGGGATATCGTCTATTACATATCTTTGACGGGTCCACTCTGCAGTGTTAGTTTACAATTTCGTTCAAATTATGCCACATGAAGGTCTGTTCGAATTTTGTCAAAACTAATTAAGGGAGGCAATCACTGTTTACTAACGTCTGCTTTTGTTTCTTTCCTACAGGAATAGTTGAGTCCCAGCGGTGAAGATGACTCGATGACTGGGAAGCTTTAAAATTACCTGTGGTTATTCGTTGTATTTATTGTGTTTAAGTTTTTGTAAATAAAAAACATCAAAACCTTATTCCATTGTTAGTATTCTCAATTGTCCGTTAGGCAGTATAGGTGAAAGCAAATCCTCTGTTGTCCGTTGGGGTTACAAAATAGAATCTGACTTTCTCCACCACTGACATACCAAACCACGACATTTGGAAAAAGTTATCATATAAGCAATGATTAAACTGCTCTCAGCTGACATTGATACGTCACACGGATCGCAGACACATCTTAGTATAAACTAACAAACTCGTTCATACAATTTCGCTTAAAGATCCCTGTCCCACTGCACTGTGGACTTTTTCCTATGTGCAGTAACCTCCCCTTGCCTTCCGTTTGTATATAACTGTATCAGGACATTTTCATACCGGGGGTAACTCAATCGGTTAGACCGATAATTTAGCAGGCTGAAGTTCACGGTTCGATGCAGGTATAGCCCTTCAGAAATTGTTTTACACTCAGAACAGGTTTTTTTGGTTTTTTTTTTAATTTCATCTTTTGTATTTCTCATAGTAGTCCCGTCCCGCAAGGTGTAGTTTTATTTTCATAAATGATCCAACACGTGCCGGGAAAACCAGTTTTTAGTAATTAGTTACAGTTTTTGGCAGTGGAACGGGCATGTATCAAAATGACAATCACGATTCCATTGAATGGTAACTGATATCAATTTATAGCTCTAGTTATAAGAAATAAATTGATATTCGGAACACGACACATACAATATGAACAACTAAAACGAACTGAATTTTAGATTTTTTACTTTGAAATTCAGCATATTTAATATCAGTAAGTAATGATGAATTGACTATTAAAAGATAACAGAAAAACATCAAATTTCAGTAATCCAATGATACATGAGTCATTAATTTTCCTCTGATCAAACGCAAGAAAAGACTTCCGTTTTATAGATATAAATATTCATAAGTTAAGTTTATATATTAGTTTTGTTTAGTTCAAGCAAAACTAAAAGGTATTGCATCATTATATATGAAAATATGTTCGTGTAAGAAAACATATTTGGATATTTTTTCTTTCGAAATTAGTTAGTTGAAAACGAAAACGATGCAAATCATTCATACCGCTACCTACCGAAATCTACAACACGTACGTCAATACAATATCCACTAACAGTTGGTGCAATATCTTAAGAATGCCTGTCCCCCATTGTATCGTGGTTTTCCCACAAGTTTTCACAAGTTTTTATTTCACTCAGTCACACTTTAGTGTGGTACAAGAGGTCACATTTATACAAATACAACAATTTATTCTGTATAATTTATGATATAACAGGATTTACAGCATAATTATTATTTTCAATGTTGTTTCTAGAAATCTACCAACTTTTTTAAGGAGAACAGTGTTGCATATTTGAAACATTCCTTTCATTTTCACGGTCGTCGGATAATTATAGTAATATTTAGGTAAATATGTTTGCCTCGGTTCCGTGATCTGACTGTTATTACAAATAAATAAATAATGGAATTCGTCGCCAACATCGATGTTACAGAGAAGACATATTCTATTTTCCCTTAAGACACCTGTCCATCTTCCTGTTTCGATAGGGAATTTCGAATTTGATGTTCTGAATTTAGACATTATTTCCCGATCTTTATCCCAAAGCCGTTTCAAATATTCTTCTAAGGCAAAATCTTTCTTCAACATAGAATAGGTATTCCCTCTGGACGATATTGTGACGTCATGATTCCATTTTTGAATAAATTGATCCGGTAACTTAGATTTTAGTATATTTTTCAGTAGCGGCTTGCTAACAGTACATTTTTCTTGAAATATTCATACATAGTTCATTCCCGAGTAACCTAGTAACTCTTTAATATTTTGCAACCATTTAAACTTAATGACGTTATTTTCGTGTAACTTGTACACGATTTTGTAAATTTTGCCTGAAAGCTTATCATGACACGTGACTAGATTATACCAAAACATTATCATTTTACAATAAATTTCAATCTGGATAGGATATCTTCCTGTTACTCCGTACACCATGTAATTAGCAGTGCTCCTTCTAAGATTTAGCACTCTCCTACAAAACTGTAAATGAATCTTTTCAATTGAAGTGTTATTTTCAAATCTCCAAACCTCTGCACCATATATTAGAACTGGAAACACTATTGAGTCAAACAATTTTAACTGGAAATCAATTGGTAACTGGAGATCAATTGGTAAAGGAATATTGCTAATTTTTCAGCGTACTGCAAATAATGCCTTTTGAGCCTGTTGAATTAGTCGTTCTTTTGCTTTGATAAAACTGCCATTGTAGTTAAAAACAAGTCCTAGGTACATAAAACTGTCTTCTATATCAAGTTCAACTCCTCCAAATAAAAAAATAACTGTATTCCACATTTTCGTTCAGAAAATATCATAATTTGGGGTTTCTGAGTATTAACTGAGAGCTTCCTGTTTGAACAATATAACTCAAAAACATCAAGCGCAGACTGTAGCCCTTCTGGCGTTTCTGACATAAGGACGGTATCGTCTGCATATGATATAATAAATATAACTTCAGATATGTTCCAATGGTATCAGCACACTTAGTGTATCTACTGTATATAACCAATTCACGTTGTTTTCTTGAAAAAAATCTTTTTAATCACTCAGGTACAAAGCAAACAAAAATGGTGACAAATTTTCACCCTGTTTTAAACCGACATTGCAGTTGAACATGACGGACATTTCAGAGCCATTTTTCACACAGGATTTCGTATTTGAGTACAAACCATGAATTACATTGAATATTTTCCGTTTTATACCGCTCTTAAGTAGTTTTTTCCATAGCCCGGCTCTCCAAACAGAGTCGAAGGCTTTGCGAAAATCTATGAACGCACAATACAGTTTTTTCCCAAGTGATAAGTATGATGTAGTTAAGAAATGAAGAATACAAATGTTATCTACTGTTGAGTATCCCTTCCTAAATCCCGCTTGTGAGCTTGTTATATTATCAAATGCATCAGACAATTTATTCAGGCGGCTATTTAAAATTGATGTGAAAACTTTACCTAGGCAAGATACAACAGTTATCGCCCTGTAGTTGTCAAGGTCATTTGGATCACCTTTGTTTTTGTATATAGGCATTATTATACCTGTTGTCCAGGTATTTGGTACTACGCTTGTTTCAAGTACAATATTAAAAAGTTTTTGATACACAGGCATACAAATATATAAAGCAGTTTTCATGTATTTATTTACAATTCCATCTATACCGCATGCTTTGCTGTTTGCGAGTTTTTTAATCGCACCAGTAATCCCAATCAAGCTCCGCTATTGTTTCCCCACTCAGAACACTGTTGCTGATAATATTTTGTTGATGTCATCTTTCGTCTGTAAGGTATGGTTATCTTTACTGAAATAATTTATCAAAACTAAAGTCATGATACATATGTAGAAAAAAAAATCCAAAACTTTAGTTACCGTTTTTTTGAAGTGGTACGGAGAGCCTGGACGTCAATACCTTTGTTTTTGAATATAGGCATTATTATACCTGTTGTCCAGGTATCTGGTACTACGCTTGTATCAAGTACAATATTAAGAAGTTTTTGATACACAGGCATACAAATATATAAAGTAGTTTTCATGTATTTATTTACAATTCCATCTATACCGCATGCTTTGCTGTTTGCGAGTTTTTTAATCGCACCAGTAATCCCAATCAAGCCCCGCTATTGTTTCCCCACTCAGAACACTGTTGCTGATAATATTTTGTTGATGTTATCTTTTGTCTGTAAGGTATGGTTATCTTTACTGACATAAGTTATCAAAACTATAGTCATGATACATATGTAGAAAAAAATCCAAAACTTCAGTTACCGTTTTTTTTGAAGTGGTACGGAGAGCCTGGACGTGAACACTTTCGTTTTTGAATATAGGCATTATTATACCTGTTGTCCAGGTATCTGGTACTACGCTTGTATCAAGTACAATATTAAAAAGTTTTTGACACACAGGCATACAAATATATAAAGTAGTTTTCATGTATTTATTTACAATTCCATCTATACCGCATTCTTTGCTGTTTGCGAGTTTTTTAATCGCACCAGTAATCCCAATCAAGCCCCGTTATTGTTTCCCCACTCAGAACACTGTTGCTGATAATATTTTGTTGATGTCATCTTTTGTCTGTAAGGTATGGTTATCTTTACTGAAATAATTTATCAAAACTATAGTCATGATACATATGTAGAAAAAAATCCAAAACTTTAGTTACCGTTTTTTTGAAGTGGTACGGAGAGCCTGGACGTGAACACCTTTGTTTTTGAATATAGGCATTATTATACCTGTTGTCCAGGTATTTGGTACTACGCTTGTATCAAGTACAATATTAAAAAGTTTTTGATACACAGGCATACAAATATATAAAGTAGTTTTCATGTATTTATTTACAATTCTATCTATACCGCATGCTTTGCTGTTTGCGAGTTTTTTAATCGCACCAGTAATCCCAATCAAGCCCCGCTATTGTTTCCCCACTCAGAACACTGTTGCTGATAATATTTTGTTGATGTTATCTTTTGTCTGTAAGGTATGGTTATCTTTACTGAAATAAGTTATCAAAACTATAGTCATGATACATATGTAGAATAAAATCCAAAACTTTAGTTACCGTTTTTTTGAAGTGGTACGGAGAGCCTGGACGTGAACACATAGGGTAGGGAACTTTGCTTGATGACAGTCTAGAAAAATACCCAAAGTATTTGTTTGCTGTTGACGTCATAAAGAAATTATATTTACGCTATTGTAACCAAACGTCAATAAACAATTTACCCAGTCATCCATTCGCAAAATAAAATAAAATTGTGCATCCTCACTTTTCAAGGAGAACATATGCTATATCATTGTTTTAATTGACATCATACATTTGCCATACAGAATTCTTCAGAATTGCCAAATACCAACAATATAAACAATGTTTTATTGATGCTAGAAGTATCATTAATCAAACACGTCTGGATCCTCGCGACATCGGTAGGTCAGTATGCACTTCCCGGTATACAAATCTTATCCAACTAATGTCTG